AAAAATAGTCAACATTATGACAAAAATGATGAAATATTCTAATTACACAAAATAAATACGTTCATTTTCATGTTCTGAATTCTGATGCAGGAATTTAAATTTAACTACAAAAGGTGCGCCAACGCGCTGTATTATTTAGAAAACCAATATATATCATTTCGTGGATAAAAATCGTGAAAAATTCCGTTTACATTCCAAAAGTAAATATGACCAAAAAAAATCTCTTTTTCAGTTTTCACACACCCTCCACAGTTTACACTCGAGTGAATAAATAAATAATGAATCCGCGCAAATTAAAAATATCCACATGAACATTGCCACGCCTGAGTCGCCCCTCAATAATAACTAAATTCCACATCAAACCATTTCAATTGGGGAAAGAGAAAAAAAAAATCCATCGTATGATGTCAAAATAAGCAAAGTCGCTTTAGAATTCCGTACGTATACCAAAATATACCATACAATTAATTAATTATATTATTATTATTTATTTTTTGAATAAAAGAACTACAGTTGACACTCTACAAGCTTATATATACAGATCGCAGCTCCCTTCTTCCTCATTTAACTATAAACCTCGATCTCTTGCATTTAATTTTCTTTCCTTGTCACATTATAAGTTACGAAAAACATCCCGAAAGTGGATTCGAGGCGTGGGAAAAGGCCCCTTTTACCTGATGAATCGGAGGTTCATCATCATCATCCTCATCATGTTAATGACGATGATGATGAGCCGTTATTCCCGATTTACTCGGAAAGATCCCAACAGGACATGTCCGCCATTGTCACCGCTCTCTCTCAAGTCCTCGGCCACACTCCCGATCAAACTCCACCAATAGCTCCCGCGCCACCTCAGCATCATAGTCATCACTTGCCTGTGCCAGGTGCACTGCCCCACACCCAACCCTACTCCACTCAGGAACTAGGTAAAATTAATTATCTGACGTTGTTGGCAAAATTGCAGTTTTAGTCCCGTTGATTTGATCCAGTGACATTTTTAGTCTTAAGAACTGAATATTTTGCTATTTGGTTCTATAATTTTAAAATTCAACGCAATTTAATGACTGAAATTGCAACAAAATTTCAAATTAAAGGACTTAAATTATTAATAAAAAATCTTTCTCCGACCTTTCAAATTTTGTTACAATTTCGCTTTCGCTCCCAAAGGACTGAAATTGCAGCAAAATACGAAATTACAGGATTATCAAAAGGCAAAAAATTGAAATCTTAGGACTAAAAACGCCACTGGATTAAACCAGCAGGACTAAAAATGTAATTTCGCCGACCTTTTTCATGCTTTATTTGATTTTTTTGCCATTATTTATTGAAAATTATAAATATATATAATGCAGCTAGGAAAAGGCACTATCGAGGGGTTCGGCAGAGGCCTTGGGGCAAGTGGGCAGCTGAGATTCGCGACCCGAAGAAGGCGGCTCGTGTATGGCTCGGCACTTTTGACTCTGCCGAGGCAGCCGCCATGGCTTATGACGAGGCTGCCCTTCGCTTCAAAGGCAATAAGGCCAAGCTTAATTTTCCCGAACGAGTCCAGTCGACTCCACACCTCACTCCCAACCTCATGCATTATAATAATAATAATTATAATATTAATCAAAATAGTAGTGGTTATAACACCAGTCATTTGGGATATGGGAATTATGTTAATCATTTGGTGGGGCACGATTTCGGTTCTCAAGCGGCCTCGTCTGTGCCGCCGCCATCTAATTATTCGGTGCCCATGATGCCTTTGAATGAAGAGGGTTTTGTAAGGTTTGATGATGATGGGCCGGGCTTTGGAGGTGGGCCCAGAGATAGTTCGGTTGGGAATTGGTGGGAGTTTGATCATGGCGGCAAGAGATACTTCTTTTGATCGATTACGATCATATGTATGGTGTTGTGGTTTTTGTTTGTGTTTTTCTCGTTTGTGTATGGGTACGTTGTTGTC